GAGCATATGAAACCCGATGGAACAAACGGCCTTCAAAAATCGAACTGCCCTCGTAGATAGCATGTTCTCTTTTTTGGCATAGGTGGCAATTTCAAACTTGGTAAAGATACCATTTGGCTTGCAACACTTCAGGAAGAAAATGCCCCTGTAGAATATCCACGTTTCAATCGAAATCGGTTAATGAACGTGCACTCAAAAGTAAAACCGATAGACAACATGCAGGTATTACGTACGACTACAATGCTACACGGCAATACCTCAAGTCAAACAATTGCATTGTAACACTTACATAACTCTTACCCTAACAGTCGATTAAATGCATTCAACTTAGCGTCGTAAAGAACAGTCACACACAAATAATCCTGAAACTAACGATAAAGGACTGTCGAGTTTATAGGAAAATTTCTCTCCAAAGTCGTAGTCGACGTTCCAACGTCCCAACGAACGTTGGGAGTAATAACAACAGCGCTTATAGAAAGGCCAACATAAACATAAATCGCCAGGGCAAGCGGTTTATTATTATTGAAAGTATAGGTGGGTAAATGTTACATGCGCATCACCATCCTATCGACCCCATATAAGCAGACTAACAAATCTACATGATAAGAACTACGAAGGACATTGATATGATCACGGGTGTCGATCTACTTTGTAATCCGTTCGTGGTTTGATTAACGTGAAATTTCTATAAGAGCGGTCCGGCGACAGTTACTCAATTTGCCTTTTGGACCTCCGGAAAAGAAATTTATGTTATATTCTAGGTGAGAAAAAAAGCTCCCGTACTGAGTATAATGTTGATTAGGCTGAGTAACTCTGAAATGTACAACAAAAGACGATGTTTTGCTTCAATAGTTGAAGACGTACTGTTCCAAAGGGATCTTACGGAGAGTACCTTTAAAAGAGACGATTGAGTGCTAAATTTCTGACTGCTAAAGTCCCGCGAGTTCTAGAGTTTAAGAGATAAGACGCTCTCGTTGCATTTAAAATTAATCTGATATGCTGATAACTGATGTATACTTAAATTATACTTGACTATGTCAACGAGTCAATAGAAATAGTTACTAGTGAAAACAAGAAAAATCACCGAATTTCTACTGTTTCTTAACCCAAACTGCTTGTTTATTTTCTAGAATAATTTCCCGAAGTTGAAGCTTCTCAAACTTCTCGCTGTACCAACATCGTGCGATCCAGGATAAACATAGACAACTGCTCTACCGTTAGTAAAAAATTTAAACTTAATTGGATTGTCCTAACTGTTAAAATGTGCCCTGTGCATTTTTTTCGAATTTCAGTGAAGCCTTGAACGTATATTGAACGCCCGCAAGTTTCCGTGAGCTTCGTTTTAACCAAAGCCCATCTTCAACAGCAACAAAACAACGTCGAATGTTACTCCCGATAACCACGTTTTTGCGTTGGATGAAGCCGAAGCGAACGGAGCAATAGATTAAGCGTACTATTTTTGTACAAGCCGTCCCATATCCACGCTCTTGTAATCTTATTTTTTGCATCCAGCTCACCTGGCCTATTTTCGGGCCAGTATTACAATTGGTATTCTTATAGTTGTTATTGTTTTGAGCTAGCGATAGTTTGAAAATGGTGCCCCTGTGGGTCGGGCCTTATGTGACACGGAACGAAACACTGAACAGATCGGTTGATTTTCTTCGGTTTTGCAAGGCCAAAATTGCTGTAGAAAATTTTTTCCTGCTGTAAAAACGTAGGCTTTGGGTCGAATGTAAATCGTTGACGTTTTCCCGTCTTTTCCGCCCACTAAGAGTCATAACGATTGTTAAAGGACGTAATCCGAATTTGCTAATATTGCTGTTTATGAAGCGAAGGGATGACCGTCTAAAGGCGTAAATACTGACTGGTGCAATTAAGACAAGAATAGGACGAAATCAGTACCTCACATCGTGAGGGTCAATCTGTCATGCCTGTAGATAATAGTACATCCTAATTTAAGTTTTTAGTTGAAGGCACCTAAGCATGGCAATAAATGCTAAGTTGTTTCGGACTTCCTCGTGTTTCTTGGTTAAAGGCAAGCGCACGGTTACAAAAGGTTGAAAAAAAAACTATATACACTGTAAATCGGGAAAGGAGTCCTTCATTTTTTCGGACCCACTTCTTAACATGGGACATGGTTCCTACAGTGGCTAATTGTTCAATTTCCAATACGGGCGCCTGTGCGTGAGCTTAATATAGATGATGTCCTAAAAGACTGTCGACGTGCCCACGCCATAATCAACGTACTGGTGAAGCGTCCCGTTTTACATTTTTTTTTTAATGTATATTCAATAAGAACAACGAGTTATGTCCCTTGACTTACATCTTATGTTTATTGGGCATCGACAGTGTGTATGATGATGATATGCTCCTAGTTGGTACAGAATTGTATGCACTTTACAAATGACGTTTGTATGGGATGGATTCAGCTTCTGCTAAAGGATAAAATATGTTTTCTCAGTATTATATGCCTTCCACTCTATCCAGAGAATTGCAAATTGACCGTATTTTTGCAGCTCAGACACGTAGCAACATCGGTAATAAATCGAAGGACACACACACACACACACACGCTCACACGTTGCGGAAGCAGGAAACCCGTTACATAGATACGGTATAAAGCTACAACATAAATGAATTCATCACAACGTTTTTACGTTGTCCCGGTCGAATGATTTCTTCCAAAGGAGATTTAGACTCGAACTACGTAGTATAACTCGCTAGAAGCGGAAGCAACGACTGCAAGCTAACGCGTAGTTTGGATATATTAGTCGAATTCTATGGACGAGATATGGGCCAGGAATCTATGTATTGTGCGGCCTAAAAAAGGTCAGGGTTTAAAACCAAGTATGCGTATCTATGCGTCGACTGTCCTTTATGTTTTCAAGCCCGGCTTCCAAAATGCCAGCCACCGACGATTCTATTGAAAATTACTCTATTGGGACGCGGTATTGGCATGGCAGGAAAGCAGGCAGTAGCCTGGACGATATCAACGAATAGCGATATCCCGCTACATACGCTAGATTAGATAACTATTTGGTACAATTCGATAATGGAATGATGACATCTCAGATGCTCATCACACACTTAAGCTAAGCCATCATTTATTAAACAGAAGGGCCATCCTAGCTCGACATATGTAAACTCTTTTACCACCGTGGTACGCATTTGTTGAGAAGCTGGAGATTCCTAAACTGGCTGTTGACGATTTAGGCACAGTTATTTCTTGATATCAATAGCGATTGATTGCAATATATATATATATATATTCAATATCTTTTTTTTATGTGGCCATTCTGCACCCGATTATGTGATGACAGTGTGACCTTCTCGACTAGTAAAATCCACTTTAAATGCAGCTACAGCTCAATACCATTAGTACTGAAACAACTTGTTATAGACCAGTGACTGAGAATAGATTTTTTTGTTAGGACGAATTTCCTTTGTTTGCGTAACGGGACCACCCCAGCTGTCTCACCCAGGCCATGTTGTCGAAGAAATAGCAAACTAAGAAAATGAATTACGATTTTTCATTTTACATATCCTATTATCTCGATAAGGTCAATAACTTGCAAATGTATTTAACTTCATATCAGTCTTCAAAGACGGTCCCACTGCGCCTTAACAGACCTTCAACGCGCTGTTCGGTCCCTTACTGGACGAACCCATAATCTACAGAGCATAAATCTCCTCGTAAGATGGCCACGGTGGATTACAGCAGTATAGTTTTTTCCTGCTCAAAGTCCACATGCGTATGTTAAAGCGAAGGTGTTTCGTGATCAGGCTTCTGGAAATTGTACTGCAGCATCGTATGTCGCTTTCTAGCAGTAAGGCGTTTAATTATTTGAGATTTTAGATCAGATTTTGCCGACAATGTATCTAAAATAGTTTGAAATCAAATGGTGTTTATCTTGAATATTATCCCACTTTTCCTCGAAGCTTTTCCTTCTAAGGTCGATTCTGATCGGTGCGAGTGTATTTTAGCAGCCATTGCTACATGACAATTTCGCTGAAAACAACAAGGTCCTGTCTTTCAGGTGTTGTCAAACCAAATCTGAAGACAGCAGTTGTATTAAACTAGTGTTAAAATTTGCGAAGGTTCTGTAAGCTGTTTTAAGTATCCCACCGGGCGGCTAGAAGGAGCTAGTTGTTTGAGACAATGCTTGACTAGGGCAGCACCGCAAGACAAAGGTTCGGACTATTTATTAAGTAGTCTTTCCCTACCTGTCGATTGGTGGTATAGTTGGATTAGGTCTTGATTGAAACTATGCACTTTTGTGGGGTTACATACCGTACCAAGTAAGGTCGACACGCGAGATTTCGGACGCAAGGCCTACTTCTTCAAGGCAAACTTATTAAATTAGAAATCGGTGTTACATATGTTATTGAAAAACACTCCCTTGGGGAACTCTACCTAGATCGGCCGGAAACTTGCTCGGCAATCTCTTAGTCTACTGGCTAGATATCTCTGTTTTCCGTTTAGCCTTATCTAAATCATCTCACGTTTTAACGCTGACCCAATACTAAAACGCTATACATTAAAAATCAAGGAAATTTAAATGATTAGGCCAATGACAGCAAAAGTATCGTTCGGTAGTAAGTAAAATATGCAGTTTCGTCCTATATTCTCCTTGGCCAGTGCTGTGTCTGCTGCTTTAACCCTTTGTTTGTCTTGGCCGAATCTCTATCAGAATATGCCTAGTTTTGTGTCGCTTGCCAATTGAACGGATGAGACGAACTATTTAATATCATGCTTATGTTTACAATGAGATAAAAAGTACGAAGGGAAAAGAAAGGCTGGCGCATTCGTCATGTTGACAGTTAGCCAGAACGAGGTTCACCAAATGTACCGTTATCTATGACTGTGGACTAAGAGAAATACAGATCTGCACTTTTTCCTCGAGCGAATTTACTAGCTAAGCTATATAATGTACTTTTAACGTTTTTGCCATCCCAGGAACGTCCTGAACTCGCTCGGAGTTGGATCTAACAAACAAATATTCTACTAGTAAAGATACGTTGTTTTTCACACGATTGTACACCATCAGGTTGTACTATTAGTTCTTTATTTAGTTCCGTTGCGGCTGTTAGTACAGATCCTGCTATTTGCTGCAATATCGTCTTCAGGATGATCATAATTGTTGCTGCTATCGGTAATGTTGTTTTCTTAACGGAGGGGTCATATATTACATAGGGACATCTTGAGCGGTTCGGACGCATCACTCGGTTCAAGGGGCTTCTACCATTATTGATGATAGGCGTATAGCATGCAACACAAGAATGGCCAAGCCGAGAAAGCCAATTCCTTGCCAGGGCTTGCTGGTACGATATAAATAGTAACAGTCGTTTAGATCGCATGTTGAAGCCCTTTTCACCTTACGAATAGATTCTCAGATGATTGAAAGCTGAACGCGATGAAAGATATCGAGGCCCTTGCGTTCCGTAAAATACAATGACATCTTGACAGACATTTCAATGACTGTCAGCGTTGAATGACTCAAAGCCGCTGCTTGGCAAACAAACCGCGTCAATTAAGCTTTTTTTTTCCGAATTAACCATACAATAACCAGGCTTTGTATTATGATGGACTTTTGGAGATTTCCAACCTACCTGACAGCATAAAGGTACGCCTTCGTTTATGGCACTGCTCCTTCATATGCTTCTGCAGGTACACGTAAAAACAATGAAAATATGATGCTAGTGTTTCGCAAACGACTGCGTTTCAGCCTGATCATTTGTGCGTATGCATCTCTGTGACGTTCGCAACAGGACGTGTTCGCTGGGATTTTATTTTCAGTTGCCAACGGGAGAAGAACGCATGAAGGAGATTCGAGTTATGAGCTAACCTCAATGCGCTGTAGTGTTCAGATCGTGATCATCGTAATTGAGTGCTAGGTCCAACGTCTACGAACACTTACCTATTACCGCTCGACGCGTTCTGTTCTAATTACGTGGTTTCTGGGTCTCTATCTCTTCCATCAAGTATTTGTTCATTCGATACTTTGTTTTAGTGGCGGATCTAAGCATTGAATAATTTTGGGGCTGAACTATTTAGATGATTGATTTCGATGGAAAGAGCAGCCGGTTTGCACTATATATTGCTTTGGGCCATTTTAGCTTACTTCCTGTTGTTTAGACTTGCTGTCTAGCAGTTGAAATGATCTTCTCGATAGTTTTTCCTTGATGACAACGGATTTTGTGGGATTTGTATGTGACAATCAGCAGACTCGCAAACACTGATCGATTCAAGCTCGATAATGAACAGCCGGGGAAACGGAAACTGTCTGATTAGTCTACGGAAGAAAAAACAATGCAAAAAGCTAAACGTCGAAAAGAGTTGTAAACATGAGGAGATGTTGTTGTTATCGCCGCCGCCGCCGCCGCCGTCGTCGTCGTCGTAGTCGTCGAAATCAGAAAATAAGTTAAAAAAAAGTGCATCAAGGTGACTACAACTACCAGGTCAACTTAGTGAGGAGTCGAAAAGGCGTACTCCCCATTGTTGCTGCTGGAGCACTTTTGTTTTGGAAATGATTGACAATAATAATTAATACAACAAATGATTCGAACGTTGTTGTTGTTGTTGTTGTTGTTTCTGAAACGTCGCAAAACTACGCCGCCCATTCTGTACTACTGAATGTTTGTCGTCATCATCATAAGCATCAATAGTGTTACTAGCATAAATTATTAAAGTTATTATCTCACGTTCCATGGTACAATATAATCTCCCTTTCTTTACATGTACGCTTCTTAATATTTGTGATATTTATCTCTATCTTTCCGTTTTTCTCTTTTTAATAAAATTGTTACAATTGTAAAATGATCCATAATCATTAGATCATGCGTTAGACATACCGTAGTCGGCAACACAATTTCTTTTAGCCGTAACTTGTTTTAAATATTAATTACTCTCATAAGTATAATCTTATAATTAATAGGTTCTCTATTGAAAAATATTTAATTTAATCTCAGTGTTATATTATAATTGTACAGTATAAGTATGCATGGTAACTCATAGACGCCGTTTTGAACCGCACATATTGCTCTAGCAGCATATACAGTAGAATTGTATATATGTCGCCAGCGGCCTCCTATGCACGCATGTTTGAGTGTATATATAATTATATATATATGTATGTATAAGTGATCTAGATTTACTGTATATATAGAGATTCTCAATATATATATATTTATGTGTATATATATATATAATCTTTTTGCTTTATATATATATAGTGTTGCCATGTAGGCAAATGAATTGAGATTAAAAATAGGCCTACAGTACAACGGCAACAACAATCGAAGCGATGATGGTGATGGTGACGGTGATGATAATGGTAACCGCAGTGAATATTTACCAAGGGAATGACAAGATTTCTAGGTATTGATCCTTTTTATGTTCATTGGCTAGCTGCTAAAAATCTATTTGTTTGTAGCTATTATCATAAGGGTGACGACAACGATGCCAAGTTACTAATATTATAATTACTAGAAATTATGTTACTGCTGCGGCAGGTCCTAGTAAGTGTGATTGTTGTGGGAATTGCAACAGACCTCCTTTTCTTCTTCGACTCGTCTTGGTGATAGTCCTGATGGCGAATAGTCGTGTTTGGCATAATTAAATTAGCCACTACTCCGATCGAAGTAATTCGTGTTTTTGACAGAGTTTCTTTTATTGTTGTTGTTGTTGTTGTTGTTGTTGTTGTCGTTGTTGATTGAGGTTTTGTTTTTATCGAATATTTGGCTTTTTCACAGGTCCGGTCGGCTTGCTGCGCCGCGCTAGCTGTTGGTAAGTTCACGATAACGTCTGACGTGAAAATTGCCGTTGGGAAAAATTCGACGACAGTTGGGATCGTTCTTCTAATCGTTCTTGTTGGTGCTTCTGTTAAGAATTTTGCTGAGGCTTGATGATCGACTTGCGGACTGGACTGCATCAGCCTGCGAGTGTATTGATCATTTTGTAGACGTCTCCCATCTCCTTTTGTATCATTAGAGCTTGTAAGCAGTTGCGAAATACCTCGTTGCGGTAGCAGTCTTTCCTGGAAAATGAAAAAACCGTACTGGTAAAAATGTCGTCTCGTTGAAACTCATGTCTGTCAAAACCGCTGTTGTTTTTCTACCAATTACAGAACACGTTCAACAGCAAAGAGTGTTAGCAAAACTCTAGAGGAAGCACCGAAAATTCTTTTAGGTGGCCATTGAGGCCTATTTGTGACACAAATAAGCCTATATCCAAACCTAATAGGTATATATTGCAATTTATCTCGAATGTTCGCGAAACGGATAATTGTTTTGGCGACTTCTCTTACGAGTGGAGTCAACAGGAGTCATCTGTACTCACGAAAGCGAGTGTCCAAGACACCATTGTTATCAAAAAGAGGCTCTCGTGTTTCATAATATTGCCATTAGATCAGGTGACCGCGCAAAACTCCAACGAGACGCGGCCGGTACAGCGAGCGGTTGCTATTCGCTAAGACGGTCTGTCGTCCTCCGAATTGTTTGAGCAGCGCGCCAGATACGAGTCAGCCCAATGTTGGAGAATCCGCTGTCGAGTGGATAGACATCTTTCAAGAATGGCCCGTACGGACATCGAATAAACAGACAGACAGACAGACAGACAGACAGACAGACAGACAAACAGACAAACAGACAGACAGACAGACAGACAGACAGACAGACAGACAGACAGACAGACAACAACAACAACAACAACAACAACAGCAGCAGCAGCAGCGGCAGCAGCAGCAGCAGCAGTCCATTCGTTCGTTTCTTGGCTCAGTTGTTTGCGCCTAGAGACATTTTCATGTGCCACGGCTCTTGGCGGACACGTTTGCTTGACGTTTTCTGTGCGTGCGTGCGTGCGTTCGTGCGTGCGTGTGTGTGTGTGTGTGTGTGTGTGTGTGTGTGTGTCTGTGTGTGTGTGTGTGTGTGTGTGTGTCTGCGTGAGTGTTTGTGTGTGTGTGTGTGTATGTATGTATGTATATATGTGTATGGGTGCGTGTATGTAACTCGAGATGAAGCCGAATCAAATTGCTAACGAATCAGTCGACTGACATGAATCCTCTCTTTTAACCAGAAGGGGATCAGCGCAGCGATCTATTTCTATGGCCAGGCAAAGCATTTCGTTTCCGCCAGCTATAGTTATAGATTTGGTAGCGTACATATGTGTAATATACAACATCACGCGCGCGATGGACCTGCATATTTTTTGCAACTGTTGCATTTGCCATTAACGTTCACGATGTACATTGACGCTATCTAAAAAAAAAGCCAGCGTAGTATAAAGGTATTACGTATGAATATTTATTATATATCATGTAGATATATATATATGTGTCATATAAAAGTTCTTGGCATTCGTTTCATTTTTTCCATCATATGCCTGCTCATCACGGTGATCAGCAATGCCAGTAGTAATCGTTAACGTGGGCCTGCCTCTTTTCTTAAAACACCGGAATCATATTATATATGTATATGCGTCCAACTAATAAATGTTTATGATACGTTGCGTGGTTAATGGTTATGGAACTTATTGGCTTCTTGCACGCATTTATGATTCTAGAGCCGAGTAATTCTACCCACGTTGATCACATCGACGATCGGAACGCCGTCGGCCGAGCTTTTGGGGAAACCACGCAAATTTGACGTGAATGATTAGCACCGTCTGATGTGTCTGATATGGATATGTGTACATAACATATGTGTACATTCTCACATATTATAGATGTATCTATAAAACTGTGATGCGCTATGCGTGAAAACGGCCGATTTGTACAATCGCATCCGCTTTTTAATCACCAGCTTTAAGCAGTGGACCCTCCCGGAATCGAAGAGATTCCACGTGAACCAATTTCTTGCTCTGATCATCTAATCATCTAAGACATTAATAATAATAACACGGCCGGAATGATAGTTCAGGCTATTTTGCCGGAGGTGTTTAAACTATGGGAAGCTCCAAATGTTATGGACGCCTATTCATAGGCAGTTACCGTCAAATAAATATCTCCGATGCTAACATGAGTCACATGGCGCTACTACATAACTGATCTATGCAATAACACACGCATACATCGACCAGTTGTGAGCAATGTGAAACTGGTCCTACACACTAAATACCTAATTCACTTAAAGGCGGATAGCACTTACGAGCACTGATCGCGAATGGAAACGTCGCGGTAGATTTCGTAACACTCGTCGCAAAGTCGGTCTAACCTGGCGTTGTACTGTTCGAAGAGGGGTACGATATTTCCGCGACAGTCGTCGATAGCGCGTCGGGAGGGAAGACGACGCGCTTCGTTGGGTGCCGGCAAAAGTCCGGCGAAAAGGATCACAAAGATAAGCCCCCAGGGCACCGATAGAAGGTAAGGGGCGCTCGCGGCCGACCTCAGCCGCTTCAGCGCACTGGGCTCCGGCTGAGGTACCGCAAGCCGCTGGTTCATCTGAAAAGAGCAAGGAAACAAGGTCGATGAGTTAGAAAATTAATCGCAGGCACCGATTACTAACTAAGTAAACTCAACAACTCCAGATGATTCTTTTCGATGCTGGATGAATCTATCCAGTTGGCGGGAGCTAATCAAATTTTCTAAGTGAAACAAGATCTCGAGGAAGGCAACATTGGGAAAAATCTGTCTTGAACTAAATAAAACCTATGAGACAGTCTAAACGGAGCTCATGGTCTCTGGATTGCAATTTTACCGTTTCTATATATATCCGCTATGATGTATACGAAAAGGAAATATCAAAACGGACTTCATTCTCGGACCAGTCAACAAAGCCTCTCATTCGCCTTGTAAAACTCCACCACTAATCTAGCGCTAACGCAAACCTCGATAAGTGATTAGACATTCAAAACGAATTATTCACGGACGTTAATAAGCAGCTACGAAGACCGACCCGCTGTTTCTGATGCGAACTTGGACCTGGGCAAGCGACGTTTGCCGCATTGGAGACGCGCTGTCTAGAAGTTTAGTGACGTCGTCGCAGCTTAAGCTGTCGCATTCACCGGCGCCATTTCAGCCATCATCAGAACTGTTGGCACCGGGCAGTCTGGAAATAAGTCACCGCCGGCAAGCTCCGCCCTCTTCACGGCCGCTTCTGCTCACGACAGCCGATGCGTGGGCAGCCATCGAGCGGCCCGTTTTTCCCTCTGAAGTTGTGGCTAGTACTGACGCCGACAGTTACTGTATTGCTGTTGTTACCGCCATCGACTGAACAAGCAATAGCTAACGAACCGTTCTGGCTAAGGGCGCGCAATGGCTGTAACTGAATGACGTCAATATATCTTATCCAGACGGTTCGCGCAGGCCCAGTAGTTCAATGTACACATATCAGCGTGCAACACACACACGGAGATAACCCATTTGAATGTATAGCAACGCAGAGGAAGATCGTGCAGAGGAATACTTCTTTTTTCGTACACTTATGCATGTTAGTACATTTGCACACCTACCTGCTATCATCAAACGTATCATAGACATATAGATATATGTATGTATATGCGTCTATAGAAACGAGGCCATCGGCTCATTTGGCTATCTAATCGCCTGCCTTTGTGATGTCTATGGACGAGGCAGACACAATGGTGACAGCCTCAATCAACCAGTCATCGGCCAATCGGTTGTCCTCGTATTCGATGCTGTCATTTGTATCATGTCTGTGCACTATAGGATAATACCCCGGTGATAGCAGTAACACTTACAAGTCATCGCTATTGCCAGTGTTTTCCTGATGTTAAAAAAAAGAAATTGGATGGCCAAAAGGTCAAGTTATTTAATTGATGTGTAGCACAGCTTTATAGAAGATTCGAGCAAAAATTTGAATAAAATATACAAGAAGAATCTTCGCTGTTAGATTTCAACTGTCGCCGTCGTCTTATGCGTTGTCGCCATCATCTACAGAATCTTAATTCCTGTTTTGTGTTTATGTCACTGTTTGTAGTCATCGTAATTCGTAGCAAAAAGAATAAGGACAAATGAAGTAGAACGCATTTTTCAAACATTTATTCTGGTTCTTATTAAGCTAGCTAGTTCTAGCCTGGAGAACGCATTAAGCATTTTTAGCTTCAGACAAAAACAGCGTCCGCCGTGCATTCCTAAACTGGTTCACAGTAATATCATATATAAGTCAATGTAAGAATCCGTCCGATGAGACATCCTAAAAACGAGCGGATCTCTAAAGAACAACCAGTACAGCTTATGTCATATAACGCACACGCCATGTTTAATTAAGTTCGTGTTGCGTTCGCATCCACAAGCTTATGGCGCCATTTTTTTTCCAGTTTTAGTTCTTGATTTAGTCGAAATTTCACACGGGAAACCGCCATGGTCAGCCTTAACGTGACGGCTGCGGCGTTCATCGAATAGCCGACATGCTAATCGTGCCGACATCTCTATACATCATGTCAACCAACCTAAATGCAGTGGGATTTATTGTACAAAAAAGAAAGACGCATATTAATGCCTATATATATATATATATATATATATATATATATATATATATATATATATATATATATATATTGCCCACCTTCGTGCGCTGCTTGTTCAGGTGGTGACCCTGAAAAGCCCGCCAGACTATCATAAAATTGTTGTCGGATCTGGTTAAGCGTCATTTGGTGGCAATAGCTAATGCCATATAAACTACTCAAAGGTCTCATTATTTCTAACTCTGTACTTAACGACATTAATAAATTAGAAGAGTACACGTAAAAGGTATCTTTCATTGGTATACATATATAGATAATTAACACTCAACATATTGGCTGGAGGTCAAAGGAAAGGAGAATCATTAACTAACTAACAGAGTTCTTAGTGATTAATGAGCACACGAAGAATATTTATAGAGGAAAAGAAACTATCTTCGAACAACTCTGAGTGCATAGGAAAGCGCTACTGGTTGCTAGAACAAAACATTTTTGTCTAACAGGAGAGGTATAGATCATCACGCGGTCAGTGGATTGAACATGTGGATTACCCTAAGCCTTCATACGGCTAGATGACTTTCCGCTTTGGTAGTTGATGACAATGTTATTGCACCCTGAAACATCTTGGAAAAACTATGAAATGGCTATTGGTTTGTGGAACCGCTGCACAAAAGTGCTAGCATATTTCCGCATATACAGCCTTTGGCTGGCGCCGGCATAGTTCCGTGATCGAGCAGGTTCATTTCCGCTTATACCTGTCCCCATCTCAATCAACATAATTTGCACCTGGTATATGCGCCCTCTACCGACGTATCTAGCAGTTAGCTACTGCAGTTGATCTTGTTCATGGTTAATGGCATCGCATTGAGTTGTATTGCATTGCTGGCTTCTGGGTTTCGCGGGCGCTGCATTCGCTGCAGCATAGCAAATTGGTGTCACCTCTCTGGTATTGGTCTCGAGGATGTTAATCGCGCGGGTTGCGACCGGGATGAAACCATCATTTCCAGTTGCAAGCTGCCAGGCAGGGAGAAAATATAGTTCTCTAGTGTTATTGCGGCTCTTTAAGTCGTGACAATCTGACAGTGACCCATGAGCGAGACTTTCGACGGGACGTCCCACGCCGTTGCAACGGCCGCGCTAGCGTTCAGTGGTCATGACGATGCAGACCGCCAGGGGCAACAATTCACGCATCAGCCAAATTGAGCCGTCTTCACGGCAACAGGCAGGAGGGCCACACACACAGGCCTTTGTGTATCTGCCCTGCAAAGTTCACAAGCTCCACGATGTGTCAGTGGTGTAAGAGGCGTAAAATCTACGTGGGATATTTGCGGACGTCTTTTTAGCATGTCTGATCGAAGCGCGGCGGTTGAATTTGCGGGCTCTGGAGGTAGCGGCTGCAACAAATCGACAGTCTGCAGTTAACAATGGACGTGCCTTGAGTCGATGTTCATTCAGCTAGCTTTCTCAACCAATCCAGAAATCAGTTGACCAATCGGCGATACCATACCATTACTGACTAATGGCTTTTGAAACATCCCTGACACTTTTCGTCGATCAGCCGCTGACGTACAGAAGATCGACGCAAATAATCATCAGCATCATCACGATCATTGTAATCGCCCTCGACGACGACGACGATGATGATGATGATGATTTGTGTCTAAACAACATCGCAACCCGCTGACGTAGCGGCAACAAGAAGGACTTCACTTTGATCCATTCCACCCTCCCCCCTCCCCCTTTCCCGTTGTAGTAGTACAGTTGTTTGTATGTACCATTTGCTGATTCGACGTTGAAGTAACGCAGCTGGTGGACAGGACTGACTGAGTACAAACGCCAAAGCCCACGGCAGCGGTAACGCCGACAGCGGCTGTAGCGGCGACAGTGACTAGACGGTCAGACTGTTGTTCGTAACGAAGTCCGTTTGCTTTTACGCGTTGAGGGGCGGCCCTTAAAGGGAAACCTGCTCGGTGAAGCCGACAAAAGCCGAAGCCGCCTGGCTTTTGCCTAAGTCGGTGGACTCGTACTGAAGTTGTTTGATGCTCGCTACCGCACTCACGGCCGAGGCTATGGTCGTCGTCAGCTCTAAGATTGAGCGCCACTCTCACAGGCACAAGCAACAGGCAAACAAATCGAAAACAAGCTGCTCTTTGCGGTGATGGTGACGCTCCACTATATGTTAGACTGCCTGGCGAAGCTCAGTTCTGGCATGCAATTCGAGTTAAGTCGTACAAGTGAAACACACGCACGACCTGCTTAAGTTGTAAGTGGGTTAAACAAGTTAATAAGTGAATGCTATTGATATTAAGAGTTGTTGATTAGTGTTTCCTAATGAGGCTTTTTTCTAATTTACCTGATCAAGAGATTCTCATAGAGGATCTAGTACCTAACAAACGTTTGCAACAAGTCGAATCTCTCCCAATGGTTTGTACTATAGTGAAGAAATGAATTAATCTTAAAAACAATATCTTTGGCCCCTGTTAAGCACAACTATTGCTGGTTCATAAGAAAAATACCAAAATGGCCAAGATAGTTCCGGATGTCTATTTCAGTTTTAATTGAACGTGCCATTTTTATGTTAGTGTTTTAGTTTGCATTGCAGTTACAGGCTACAGTCTCTACCTTTCCATACGCGTGGTGCTCGTGCAAAAATACATAGAATTAACATTTATATATATATATATATAAATTCACAGTTTAACGGGCATGTCATTTTGATTAGTTGTCATCCAATAGCTTAAAATTTTAAGCTATCGGTAAGGTTCTAAGAACTTGATCGGAATGCAACGGAACGCCTGTACAGAGCGGACCCCCTGACAAGTTGGTCCGGGTTCACTCCAGTTCGTTGAAACAACCCAACAGCAATTGCTAACGAAAAATGTTCGCTATAGGAAGACGGACTGCTTAAACACGGAGCAATCCTATAGACGTTGATGGTAGATTCTCGACGTCCCTAGGGGTGCGATTGGAGTTCGATGCGCACATGGCGCGATCGAATAAACCGCGCATGAATTAACTTAGACTAATTGTATCGTAATTCCAACATTAACCAGTATTAGATTCTTGGTGCACGATATACAGTATCAACTTTGTATAATATTAAGACGAAGTCACGAATTAAGAGATGCGCCTCCAGTTTCCTCGTAGTCCAATCTTAAAAGTTTCATTCATACGTTGGGTCATATGATAGGCCTATATAAATTGTGTGAATAGAGAAAAAAAAATACATGCATTACAGTAAATCAAATGTATGGTTCAAACTTTAATCTGCTCTATCGAGCGACTATCGAGACAAGTTCACCTATTTAAGTTTTGAAGAAAATCAAAACAATCAAAACTTCGGAATATTTCTTTCTCTACCAAGGATGCTATTATCAATTAGCTATTCACAAACACAGGAAGCTAGGTAACTTACGTTGCTTGTAACATTTATGTGATACAGCTTCGGTTAAAAGTAAGATATTTTATTCAGAAATGATGTCTGTTCTCTAAAAGAAAGCCGGCTATTCTTATTTTACCGACTAACAAAAAGCAAGTGTTATATCTCGACTTCGGATCCCGATTCGTACCTGATTTAGTCGGATCCACCGGAAAGAAGAAACGGTAATAGCCGTAAGGGTAAGTGGGTGGTTATCCGTAAGGGTGCGCGAGATCTTTTCCCAACGGACACACAGTTCGCCTTTTCTCTGTTGATCGTCTCTATGGACTAGAGCTGTCAGTCCAACAAGAGAATTGCGTGGTTCTATATCGTCATCGTCGTCGTCGTCGTCGAAGACGAATGAGAATTCTAATCGTTTGCGGAACACACACACGCACACACAATGTGATTAAACAACAATTGTCAGACAGAACGATGCACCTCGGTCGACGGCAGCTTCAAGACTGATGCACATCGACGATCTGATCCAGCTTTGACTACTGAACGGGTCGCTCAGCGCCCTTTACTGGAGGCCTTCGTCTTCCCGCGCTCGACACTTTGAACCTCGCGAGCGGAGCCTCCAGCTTGTTTCCCATTGGCTAACCCACCTCCTTGCCGACCCTCGCCCCTCATGACGTCACGAAATCGCGCGATATCTGCTTGACGGGTGCCTTGTCCGGCTGTGTCGGGTGTGTATGTGAGTGTGTGTGCTTACTGCTCACGATGTGATTGCTATTGGCGATGCAGCCGGCCCAGCTATTGTACACGACCACGGGAGATGTGTGCTTCTTGTCTGAGCTTTTTGAAGATGGCCGTGATGACACTGTTCTTCTGGCTGATTGTCGATGTACAGGCATACCAGTCGCGTCATGCACATGCTTGGTCATGTACACACGAATGTTGTGCATTGAAATAATATACGTGAATCAAGGCTCTGCTTAGGCTATTTGCTGAGAAAGAAAAAAACAGTTTAATAAAGTTATCTTTACCCGAAAACTAAGCAACAGAAAGGTGATCAACGGTGGAAGGGTCACAACTGCACAGTTTAATATGATCGAACACATTTTTCGTGGATGTACAAGTTTAGTAATTTGTAGAAAATTGCAACAGGTGCAAATCATCTTTCAAAAATCGATTTGGTTTGCCCGTTCTGGGTAGAATCACCCTTGAGCTCTTTGCACATTTAAATCGTTCAATCGGCATTGGGTCTCGCTGTGCTTTTTAAAGCAACTGTTCAGAAAACCTTATTTATTTATGATAAGTTGTTTATCTAATCATTTATTTTGTCAGAACACGCCTTTAGCGGGCAAAATTTCTTTCTTAAGGAGATTACATTCAGTCGTCACTCTTGGGCGCTACTTCCAAATAATAAAGCGTTACACACTTTCACCTGAAACTCGTTTAATAAGGTGTCTTTCATTAAGTAAGTTCTTGAATACGCTGCACATTATACATATATGGGTATAAAACAGAAAGCTGTGCATCGACTTGTCGGTAGCAGTTAGTGCCGGCATCATCCATAGGCGGCGTGCTTTGTCACGATGCCATCGTGGCGCTTGCTGGCTACCGATTGACGATTTGTTCGGCACGTTCAAAAAGATGGCGATGGAGGGTCACTACGCGACTTATTATTGGTTGACACTTGACACAAGGTTTCACCTTCCTGTGACAATTGTTAGTAGCACCCAATCTATTGTCAAATATCCAACGATACCACAGCAACGCCGGCCACATTGTTGTATATAGATACAGCCAAGCTTCTGTCACCATTCGGCGACAGGATGTACTCAGGACAGTTATGAAAACAATAAAAATAATTTAATCAAAAATTGAGAAAGGGTGGAAGCTCCGTACAAGGGACGAATAGGCGCTAGATTTCAGGTGTTGCTTAGGAACGATCCGTGATGCGAGAATCGAGCAACTATTTACTACGAAATTTCAATGCTATCTTTTTCTTACATTTGCCACAATATAGCACATTTCATTGTATAGCTAAATAACATCAACCGTTTGTTCGGTAACATCCTTTGGCAAGGTACAACAGCGATAATTGCAAAACTAAGAGGGGATTCGTTAGAAAGGGGAAAGTAAAGACGTTGATAGGTCATTATACATAATCATGATTCTGACGGTAACTTCCAGCAAATAAGTGACCACAACTAGAAATTCAAAACATTGGATTATTCTTCGTTATTCAAACATCGTTTATTATCGTAGATATGAATTTCCCGCTAAATATAAAGCTCTAATATAAAGCTAAATATAAAGGGTAAATCATCATATCTATAGAGGATTCAATCTTGTATATACTAGAATTGTTTTCTATATTTGTTTACCTTTAAATATGCTTATGGGAACAATCACTTTATGAATGTGCTGTTCGGAGATTCCTCTTCGCGGACTATTAGTACATCTCATCTTTCTCGGATTGATCAAAATCTCGTTGGATATCTACTGAATCCGCGTCGGGATTTAAAGCTTTGGCCGCTACTGCACAAGCGTTGTTCGTGATCTCGTTCGGTCACGGCAAGTTCATTCAAGTCTGGACGAAACCGTCGCCACTTGTCTTGGCCTATGAGCTATGTACCTCGGTAGCGAACCTGCTGTTTCGTGCCCGGTTTGAACTGCTGGAAGTGATGGCTGTATGTTCCCGTACCTCACCAACAGCTCCAGCCCTATCGGATGACCAGGTCGCTCCTAATTTAATAGGCCGACAGGGCAATATATGTGTGAATTCGGCTGACTGTGATCGTACGGAGTGTATCGGTTTGTGTGTGAATATGGGATAGCTGGTCAGCCACTGCTCTGATAGGCAGGACGCCCAACACGCTTCTGGGAGATGGGGAACTTTTACAGACACATTCCATTAGGTAGGGCAACGGCGGCGCTTTGCCGCTGAGCCCAAGCCGAATTAGCGAGAAATAAAGAAACGCGAAAGAGTCAGCTTCGTTTCTCCGGAGCTGCTGGCTCTTCATCCAAAAGAGTTCCACAGCTATGCGGTCGTATTCGCTACGCGAGGAGGCCCTGTCCGGCCGGCTGCTCATATCAGCAACAATAACAACAACAACAGTTCAAGCAACGACAACAACAATATCAGCAACAACAACAACAACAACAACCGTTTCTTGCAATACAGGCTCGCTCGAACCTTTTGTACCGCCTCAAGCCGCAAGTTGAGGTCAACTCGTGCGTTGCGCGTTTATTAGTCTCCTCACTCAATTAATTTGAATGGGACGAAAGCTACAGGCGTCCAAGCTCCTTTGCACTTAGTGTAAGCGGGCATTTGAGAAAAGCTCGTACGAAACGCAATCTCCCAATAAACAGGCAACGATCTTCAGCGTTTCCAAGCAAAGCTTTTTCTGAGCATCTTGTGTGCTTGAAACCTGCGAAGCGCACTGCGTTTAGGCGTATGCGCGCTTTCTAATGTGTTCATACACAAAAGCGAAGATACCGATTGCGGGCATTCATTACATAGAACCATGTAGCCCCGTTTCAAAAAAAAAAATCGGGATACGAATGGTCAGTGTGGGGTATAGAGACACAGCAGAAAATCATTCAAGTGGCGAGGGGGGTTCGACGGATTAAACCGCGAAACGATTACTGGACAAAACGGGAGAGGGATCAAATGGCCAACCGACCGAATCCGTAACAAGTGAAAGCTGATGCAACATTCTGTAAAGATGGCGTACCGAACGTTGGCGTAAAGCTGAGGAGGAGGACATGGTCGGAATCACTTGAATAGCACATACCGACAAGTGTAACAAACGAAATGATGCTCCATCATAGTGAAATGGATGTGAAGCGATAAGTGAACTCTTATCTACGAGGTGATACAGAGAACAACGACCCCCATTGGTGCTAAAGGGATGATGCTATTCTGAAGTTTGACAAGAAAGGAAGAACGTGAGCATCTGAAGAAGACTACAACGTGTTTTGTTTTTAAAACCCCTTAATGATTTGCTGCTTATCGCCCAATGGGGGTAAACGTTACGAGCAGGAAACGCGGCGTAATAACCCCCAGTCTGCTTGAAAATAACGGCGGGGTAAGTGGCCTTGGATTGAAAAAAAAGTGCCACTCATTAGCCGGGGGTAGAAACTTCTTGGATATGCGTTCTGCGCCTTATCTACTTTTCCGCTACGGCAATCGATTATTCTAGTACATAGTTATTAATAAATAATTTACATATCGACTTGTCCAGGTGAACTTTACATGATCATTTTAAGAGACTTGCATTGGGTGGGCAGCTAATTTTAGAATAAATTTACTGAAACACATAGATAGCACTCAAACTGCCCCTTGTACATAATTAGAACTATTAATTCGTTAATCATATACTAACAAGGTAATAAGGTAAAATCAAGGACAGTGCCAGGAGATTGTTGTACCAGGATAGTTTTACTGGTTTCAGAGAGAAAATAACGCCATACGACTATAAAATCGACAAACTAAACGATCTGAGAAGACATCTAGAAGTTCAGAGGCAGAGCAACGGCATAAATCTATGTTTATTTTTTTAATGGATCGGTACCGCGCGAGACGGACACTCGGACATAAGCGTTGGATTTATCCTCTCAATCGACTCAGTTTATCACAGGACGCAGCACCCATCCATGTTTGGATGGCTGCCTAGATGGATAGGTGCCTTCCGCGGTCTCTTAGGCGTTGGAGTTAGTAAGTAACAAGCGCGCAAGAAAAAAACAAGGTATTGAATGCGGTTGTGTCCAATGTACACCTGATCCGAATGATTAACGAAGGATAGGGAAAACTTTCTGTAAGGAAATACGCAGGCAAAATAAAGAGGGCATAACCTAAAGGACAGCTGTGGCGGGAGCTCGCTGGGCACGATGTTGCAGGATCAACTTCGCTGGATCCGCAGAGGAAATATAATCGCTTCGCGCGAAGAAATAAAGCTCGTCTGAGGAAGTAGAGAAGTTGATCAAAATGACCCGGAGCAACTGATTCACTGTCAATTACATGTTCCTTCTGACAATTGGTGATACTATCAAACAAAGACCCGAGCTAATTCGGAGTTCAGCGTAAGTTGCGATTAGTAATAAATAAAAGTCTTGGCAGAAATCAGACCAAATTGTCAGAGTTTAGCCGTGTACAAGGTTAACATAAGATAGGCTTGCCTAGGCAACATCCGGTCAGTACACAAAATAAGTTTCTTTGTAAATCGTGGGCACACCCCAATGTCAGGCCCATTAAATAAAGCATGTAATAGATAACGGTCTTCCGTATTTCGGCTTATCGAATCAACTATAAAAACATGCAAACAAACATATATGTATGTATTAATTTCCGAGCTGCCGGTCTGCTTCGTAAACGTTCTTCGTTGGGTTAGAACAAGGGTCTTTGTCCTAAAACAGAGATGAAGAAGTTCTATGTATCGTGGAACCATTGAATCT